TCCACCATTCCACCTTACTATGATATTATTTTCTTTAGTGGACAGTTTACTGATGCTGATTTAACAGGTAACACTGAATTTCTTGCAGCACTGTAATAGATGACTTTTTCTATTGCACTGGTACTGGAGATTGCACCTAGAGCCCAGTACATGCCAGGCAAATACTGTTCCCCTGAGCTGCATCCCAGTCCCAGATGATTCTTTAGTCTCCATTGCATTTGATTAGGAAACCCAGAATCCCCAGCACTTACATCAGCACTTTCAGTTTCCCACTTTCCACAAGGGGAGATACAATCACATATTCACAAAGCACTACTGTAATGACAGATATGAAAAGAACCATCAGATCAGCTGATGAGATGCAAAATGCCAGCAGGGAAAGGCCAGAATGTTGACTTCTCAGCTGAAGCAGCAAGTTCTGAATCTGAATTCTGCATCTGCAGGAACTTGACACCTGGTCCATTGAAATGAGTGTGAGGAAAGCTGTGGGGTGTTAAATGCCCTGGTATGTAGATATGTCCTCTTTTGATCTAAGGTTACATAATTCCTTCATCTACATAAAAAGAGCAATCCCTTCTGTGACCTGCACTCCACTATGATGTTGAGCTGTTGCTGGTGTACAGATGAAGCATTCACGGTTGACACAGGAGGCAGCATTGTTTCTTCAGTATTCTGCTTTGAGCTGTTCATATTGTTTGTGTGTGAATACCTCTGGGAAAACTTATTATTGCTGATATAATTTAAAACTTTTATTTTATGTGTGTAAGTATGGGTGTTTTACCTGTAAGTGGACTATGTGCATGCAATGCCTGCAGAGGCCAGAAGAATGCCCTGGAACTAGAGTTAAGGACAGTTGTTAGCTTCCATGTGGGTGCTGGGAATCAAACCCAGGTCCTCTGCAAGAGCAATCAGTGCTCTTATGTATTAAGCCACCTCTCCATTCCCTGATATAACTATTTGACATCACTTTTAAAGCAGCCACATTTTTGTTCATTAGTTTTGAGACACAATCTACTATGTATCCTAGGCTCACTTCAAACTCATGATCCATCTGCCTCAGATCCTCAGTGTTGGAATTACAAATGTGTACTACCACACCAGGGTAAATAACCATGCTGATCCTGAAAATTTGTTTTCATTTATTCTTGATTTGTTTGAAGGATGTTATCAAGGTGGAATGTTTGCTACTGGAAGGCAATAAAATAAATCCATGTGTGAATGCAAGCTGATGAACAAACACCATAAACATGCCATTCTGGGCAGTGGGTCTTTGCTTTAAGCCAAACATCATTTAAAGCCACTTGTATGAGTGAATAGACATTGTTAATTTGATTGAATCTAAATCACCTGGGAGAAAAGCCTGTAGCTAGGCAAGTCCATGAGGAATTATCTTGACTGAAGAAACTGAGGTGAGAAAACCCACCCTGAATGTGAGCAGCACCATCCCAAGCACTGAGTTCCCAGGCTGATTAAAAAGGAGAAAGAGGCTGAGCAGCAGCGTTCATCTCTCTCTGCTTCCTGGCTGTGGATACAACGTGGCCAGCTGCTCAGGTTCCTGCTGCCATGACTTCCTAACTATGACTGACTGTACTCTGAATGTGTGAGTCAGGTATTTGATCATAGCAGTAAGAAAAGCAGTATACCACTAACAACACTCCTCAAACATGTTTTAGAGGGTTGGTGAGGTGAGTAAAAGGGCTTGCTGTCAAGCCTGAGAGCCTGCATTTATTTGATCCTCAACATCCATATGGAGAACGAGAACTGATTCATACAAGTTGTCTTCTGACCTACATGTGTGTTAAGTCATGCATACACAAACACACAGTAAATAACTAGTACAATAAAAATATGTTTCTCACAAATTTCTTCTATGAAGGCAGCATCACTCTACTATTAAAATCAGGTAAAGACACAACCAAAAAATGAAACTATAGACTCATATCCTTAATGAAATTAGATGTAAAAATTCTCAACAAAATACTTGCAAACCACGTACAGATGTACATCCAAAAGCTCATTCACTATGACCAAGTAGTCTTTTTTCCAGAGATGTAGGGATGGTTCAATATATAAAAGTCAACAAACATCATCAATCATATAAGTGGACTCAAAGACAAAAACCACATAGTTATCTCAATAGAGCAGGAAAGGCTTTTGACAAAATTCAACATGCATTCATGATAAAAGTTCCAAAGGAAATTAGACTGGAGGGAACCTACTCAACATAATTAAAGCTATATACTACAAACCCACAGCTGGAGAGGATGTGGAGAAAGGGGAACACTCATTCACCACTGGTGGGTTTGCAAACTTATGCAACCTCTATGGAAAGCAGTGTGGAGAACTCTTAAAAACTGAAAATGAACCTATCAAGCTAGTGAATTTTACATAGCTGCTTATCAGTTGGATTGAGAGGTAACATAAAAATCTCCTTGTGTGAACATTTATATTTGGAGTCAATCATTTTGGTCAATTATGGCCAACTTATTGCTGTTTTGTTGCTTCTTCCAAAAAGATTCAAATTCACTATTTTATTTTTTATCACCTTGGTTCAATCTCTGTATTTGTTTTCTTTGGGTAACAGTGATACAAACATGAACTTCCTTTTTGCTTTTAGCTTTCTCTCTCTGTAGGTCACAGGTTAACTTCAGGTGGATTTTTGTTCCTTAGGAAGCCATACACCTTGCTTTTTGAGACAGGTACTGTCCTTGGCCTGGAATTCACTGATTCTGCTATGTTAGGGAGTGAGTGAACCCAGGAATTGGTAAGTATGAGAAAGCCCCTGGAGGTACACAAGTATCCTGGCAGAGTTGAGATGGCCAATGGAGGAGCACAGGGAGGCATGTGAAAGCAAACTTGACATGGCAGGTCTGGGAAAGCTCCTATAACTGGGTGTCCACTATGATCCTAGCAGAGCTGTGATGGCATGGTGCAGGGAGGTATAGGAAAGGCAACTCACCAGAGTAGTCTGGGGAAACTCCAAGATCTGAGGGTCCGCAAGTGTCCTTGCAGAGCAGAAATGGCAGGGCACAGGGAGGTGTGGGAAAGGAAATTTCTCCCATAATCTTTAGTATGCTCAATACTATTCAAAAGTTCAGACTCTGAAGTCACTTCTGGGACTGAAGACAATCTCTCAACTATAAGCACTCATGAACTGAAAGACAAATTGTGTACTTCCAACATAAAATGGCAAAGAAAAAAAATGATAGCAATATTATTGCATATTAAAATTAACAACAATTTATTAATATTATTAAATATTTAGTATTAAATGTGTTTTTACATACAGATTTAGAATAACATTTTTATCCTTGTCAGTGACATTTTATGATTAGAAGATTAACCAACCCATGATTAACAAGTAATTTATCCCATATTACCTCTTACTTGCTAATTTTATATTTATAAATATATATTATTCTCAATAATGAGTGAAAATTCATTAGTTAAAGTAATATTGTCTCCTACATTCTATTAACTCCAAGATCTAAAATACCACAATGGAAATGCATCAGTCATGTATACAGTATTGTAAATTTCTTCCAAGAAGTAACTGAGAGATCTGGACTTTGTAATTTGTGTGTTTTGGGTATGCATGGTGTGTGTGTGTGTGTGTGTATGTGTGTGTGTGTACATGCACAAGTGTGCAAGCACATATGTATGAGTACACATGAAGGCCAGAGGTTGAGACTGGGTGTTCTCAATAGCTCTCTACCTTTGTCTTTGAGATAGTATCTCATTGAATCTAGAACTCACTAGTTTGGCTAGACTGACTGGCCACTAAGTCCCAAGGATCCTTCTATATCAGCCTCAGTTACAAGCACAACCTTCTATATTTGGCTTTTTTTTTATGTGGGTTGGGGATAAAACTCAGGTTTGTATGGTTGTGGGGCAAGCACTTCACTGACTGAGCCATAATCTTCCCAGCTCCTATGCATCTGTTTACTTTGAAATTCCTTCTTGCTTGAAAGTCCTCTATATTGAGTGAACAGATCAAGGAAGATAGGTTCTGGGGGTGAGGTGCATGCATACCTGAGCTATCTAGAAAGTAGCCTTTATTATTCTGTTTAACTTTCCACTTGCAAGAGGTAGTTCCTGGGGTCAGGGAGATGCACAATACTCTGAGAAATGAAACTCTTGGCTTGGTAGCCACTTTCCAAATCCAGTCTTTTCAGTAGAAAAGAAGAGATGTGTTTAGTGATCTGAGAGACATATTTGCCACACCGTCTCTATTTCAATCTATCAGAGGGATGACATCATATATACCAAAGTACTCAAAACCCATGCTTTGCTTGAATATGGCATTGTATATCTGTAATCCCAAAGCTAAGGAGGCTTATGCAGGAGATTCAAAGTTTTGAGGTCATCTTGGGTGTCATACTGAGTCCCAGTTTGGCCCTGGTTTTATAACAAGACTGAGTTTCAAGAAAAACTAATAAAGTATGCTTTTCCTTAATCAGTTATTTAACTCACAGACTATGTAGCAGTGAAAGTTATGGGGCGGGGCAACAGTAGAGTCAGCAACGTGCTTGGCTTTTTTGGTGGTTTGAATGAGAAGTAGCCCCCCATGGTATTTGAACATGTGGACCCTGCCGCAAGCCATGACTCCATCCAGCAGAGCCGAGGAAAGAGGACACAGACACCAAGGTGAGGTTCAGGCTTCTTCCTCTTTATTATGCACTTCAGTCCTTATATAGTTTGTTCCCAACAGCCCTCCTCCCAGCTAGGACCAATCAGGGCGCACACACACACACACACACACACACACACACACACACCAAGCAGGCAGGCAGAGTGGCAGCTCATTGGGCCACGGAGCAGGGTGATGCTTGATGATGTCTCTGATCTGGCAGGCAGCACATGATCGGGCTCCTTGCTTGCTCGAGTTGGAGTAAACAAGCGAGAGTCACGAGGCTTGGCAGCCAGCCAAGGGTTGGAGTCACGAGGCTTGGCAGCTAGCCAAGGCACCATCTTTGGCTGACTCGGCGGTGCTCGCTTCCCACAGACCCCCAGTTGGTAGTGCTCTTTGAGGAGGTTATAAAACCTTTAGGAGGTACAGCCTTGCTGGAAGTATGTCACTGGAGGTAGGCTTTTATAGCTCATAGTCTTGTCCCACTTCCAATTTTTGTTCTCTGCTTTGTGTTTGTAGTTGAAGATGTGATCTCTCAGCTTCCTGTCCTGCCACCATGCCTGCTTCTGGCTGCTCTGCCTCCCTGCCAGCCATGACAGACTCAAAGCCCTGGAACTGTAAGCCAAAATAAGCTCTTTCTTTTATGTTTCTTCTAGTCATGGTGTTTTATCACAGCAACAAAAAGTAATTAATACACCTTGCCCACACCAAGTTTGATCCCCAAGAACTCATATAAAAAAGCTGGATATGGTGGTGCATACTTAAAACCTCAGTGGTGCGGAGGTGGGGACAGGTAGGTCCCCTGGGGCTTGCAGGCCCAGCATCTTAGTGAACTTTGTGAGTTTCAGGACAAGAAAGAGCCTTTCTCACCATACCAAAAGAAAACAAACATACAAAACAAAGGAAAATGGGCAGCAAATAAAGATGTTTTCTGACCTGTGCAAACGAGAGAGAGAGAGAGAGAGAGAGAGAGAGAGAGAGAGAGAGATTCAATCATTATGTAAAATGTTGTAGACAAAAATGTGCAGAGAGAAGAAATAAATTCACATTCATTTGGTAACTGTAAAAACACATTTTTGTGTACAAAAACATTGAAGAACTTATATTTTATATATACAAACTATGGATGTTTTATGCAGCCAAGATTTGACTGCTTGTATGAATTAACCATTGCATTTAAATATTCATATAAAATTTAAACAGTGATTACACATGTTTTCTACTATTTGTTAATGCACATAGCCATTTTGCTGTTCTATTGCTTCTTAATAGCAAGAATAAGCATAATTTCTATGCTTTTAGATGCCTGATCATTTTACATAAATTGCATGCATTGTGGGCAATAAAATAATAGCACACAGATATTTTTATTTTTTCAGAGTGTATTTCTAAAATATTTTTATTTTATTTATTATTTTTATTTTGTGTGTATGAGTATACTGCTTACATCGTGCAATGCCCATGGAGGTCAGAAAAGGGCATTGGATTCCCCTGGAACCAGAGTTATGGACAATTGTTAGCCACCATGTGGGTGTTGGGAATGGAACCTGGGTCCTCTTCAAGGGCAGTCATTGCTCTTAACTGCTGAACCTTCTCTCCAGGCCCAGAATATATTTTTGTATGTAAAATAATTTTAATAATATTAGCAGAAACAGATTTCATAATATGAGTGTATACACATACAGTATATACATATACAGAATTATATTAGTTTTCTATTCACAATATTGTGTAAAAGCACAGTTATCAATGTCAAACAATGCTAATCTCTTTTATCCTTGTTCTGTATGTTCAAATCAGCTACAACATAATTGCAGTATGATTAAGATCTCACAAACCCAAAGTAGAGTTATTAGCATACCTACACTTTTTTTATCCTTAATACTGATGAGAAATACTGTCAGGGTTGGATGGAGGTCTCCATTTTCTTAGTATGTGGATAACCCCCTCTTCTAGGAGGAAAGGGGCTAGGCAGATCCATCTGTTTCTCCAGTCAAGATACATCTTCTTCCTTCCTCTTCTGTTTTTACAGCTCCTGATTACCGTGGACCCACCAAGATGTCAGGTCAACTGCCCAGTATTCCTAATTACATCTGTGAAGTTCTTTACACCATTTCATAGCCAGGGACTACAATGGAGACTCTAAAGGGACCCTAATTCTGCTGAAACAATATAATGTCTGAAATTCACGATCACATTGTTAGATTTCTAATACTATTACAAAATATGAGAGATGATCACCTTCAAAATGGAAAGTTGACAAAATGACTTAGCAAATAAAGGTGTTTGGAACTAAGTCTTACAACTTGCATTTGATCCCCAAGACCCAAATGGTAGAAGGAGAGGACGAATTACCATGCTATTTTCCTTCACATATGCCCTTTGAGTACACACACACGCACACACACACATACGCACACACACACACATACACACACACACATACACACACGATGCACATTGATATATCCAAAACTATGAGACAAAGTAAATCTTTCCTCTTTCTATAAAAATGTTTTTTTCACTCTCCTGACTTCCCTCCTAGTGTTACATCAGAAACTAGATACTCACATATAAGGGATTGGTGCTACAGCTGCAGATGAGGAAAAACATATGTTGCTTACTTTTCTGTGTTTGAGTTACTTAACTTAGTATAACACTTTCTAGTCCATCCATTTACCTGAAAATATCTTAATTCCATCTTTTCTTACTGCTGAGTGGAACTCCATTGAGTAGATGTACCACATTTTCATTATCCATTCATCAGTTGAGGGCCATTTAGGTTGTTTCCATTTCTTAGCTATTGAGAAGAGAGCGGCAACAAACATGGATGTACAGGTATCTCTACAGTAGGATGGGTCCTTTAGGTATATGACAAAGAGTGGTATCACTGGATCATATAGTAGGTTCATTTTTAGTTTATTGAACATCCTCCACACTGCTTTCTGTAGTGGTGGCACAAGTTTTTGCTCACACTAGCAGTGAATAAGCATTCTCCTTTCCCCACATCCTCTCAGCATTTGGAGTCTTTTGTTCTCTTGATTTTAACCAGTCTGACTGGGAAAAGATGGAATCTTAAAGTGGTTTTTAACTTCATTTCTCCAATACTAAGGATGCTGAGCACTTTTTAAGATGCTTCTTCGCGATTTTTATTTCTTTGTTTGAGAAATTTCTGTTTAGATTATCCTTTTATTGCATCATTTAATTTCTTATTTCTTTGTTTTTTGAGTTTTTGTGTATACTGGATATTAAACCTCTGTTCAATGAGTAGCTGATAAACATTTTCTCTAACTTAGTGGGTTTCGTCTTCCCTTACTTGGCTGTTTCTTTTGCTTTACAGAAGCTTTTTAATTTAATGAGGTCCCACTTATTGACTGTTAGTGTTTAGTGCCTGAGCAACTGGTGTCCAATTTAGAAAGTCCTTTCCTATGCTTGTATCTTGGAGGGTGCTGCCTATGTTGTCTTCTAGCAGTTTCCAATATTCAGGTTTTACATTGAGGTCTTTGATCCATTTGGAGTTTACTTTTGTGCAGAGTGAAAGTTAAGGGTCCTGTTTCATTCTTCTGCAGGTGTAGATGCAGTTTTGCAGCATCATTTGTTGAAGATGCTGTCTTTCCTCCATGTGTGTTCTTAGCACCTTTTTTGAATATTAGGTGGCTGAAATTATGTGTACTCATGTTTGGGTCTTCTATTGTGTTTCATTGATCTACGTGTTTATTTTTGTGCCAGTACCATGCTGTTTTTATGGCTATAGCTCTGTAATATAATCTGAGATCTGGTATGGTGATCTCCACAGAGTTGTTCATTTTGCCCAAGATTGCTTTGGCTACCCAGGGTCTTTCATGATCAGAGGCAGATGATATTGGAGGGGAGGATGGGGAAAATGGGGGGGGGGTGGCTGTGCCTAGGGAGGGAGGAGGGAGGCCAGATGGGAGAAAACATAGTACAGATGAATGAATCTTGGGGGGATAGAAAACCTAGAGGGAAAAGTTATGCCCTTGAAATCCTATGAGAGATGCAAATACAGTGTCTGAACATTAGTGCATATGTGTACCTGGGAGCTGTTTGGCAGGGAACACAGTGCCAGACAGAAGACACCTCCCTTTGAGTGGTTGGTGAAGGAGGTCCAGGAGACCCCCAAATAACACAGGCTATTGCCAAACCTCTTGGTTATCTGCCAAAACTAGTAGATAAGACTCTACTGTTGAAGACAGGACATTCTTAAGATACAGGACTTGGAACAATGGAGCAGGAACTGACCTGGAAGCCTTCTCATGGATGTTTGGCTATCATAGTGCTAGATGATTATATGCAAACTACCAAGGAAAAAAAAATAATCAATGGTCCAACCCATCCCCAAAGCCTAATAATACATCAATATTTATTTATGTAACAACCAATAGAGCAAACTACCTCTACTAGTGTGTTAGTGGCACTGTTATCTGGGGGGGCAATCAGCAGCTATCTAATTGGACTTAAATATCAATCCTTATATTTACAGACAAAATACTGTACACCACTCATCAAAGAAGTTTCATTTTGCAACAGATGGAGGCTTCTGAAAAACTGCACATCTGGTCAGATACAGAGAACAGATATCTGAGAGATGACCAGTACTAGGTGATACATGTACAGTTGAACATCTATGACTAAGGCTCATGGAACATAGCAGAACAAGGGATACAAAGAAAACTCATGCATCCCTCCACTCTCACCATTAAAACTTCCTTATATAACAGAATATGATTCACACAGAAGGCTACAACTGGCCAAGTTTTAAAGACTAAGAGACTATAGACTGCAGGATAGGGCTCCTATACAGAAGTTCATCCACCATGGATCAGGGACCATTGTGGAAGAGGGGATGGAAAGATTGTAAGAGCCAAGGCTGGTTTGTGAACTCAGGGAAGCAGAGGCTTCCAGGCCATGGGAACCTTGCACACGTGAACTTTTGGCAATGGTGGCATGCAGCACAGGACCCATGTCAACTCAATTATATAAGGGCCCAAAGCTGAGGAAATAGGTGGTGGGCTGGCAGCAGAATGAGACCTATTTGAAGACTGATTGCTGCAGGCTGAGGGAGCATATGACTTACATATGACCCTTAGATGGGCTGAGTAGACTCCAGTGGGTGAATTTACACTGAAGGACATTTGTGTAAAAATGCATAATAAATAGGACTTAATATGAATGGCAGAATACTTGAGGTCTGGTGGATGATGGGGAGGCATGGATTGGAGGTGGTCTAAATTTTATTAAGAACAGTTGTATGAAATTATAAAAGCTCAATAAAAATGCTTTTATCACATTTTTTTTGTGTAGCATGTGTGGAGGGTGGTATGTCACTGACTTGAATTAGGGTTACATATGGGAGAAGGATTTTTTGGCCACACGACTGAAGAAAACATCTCCTTTTCCTCCAGTAACTATTAACTGCTTATAAATCCCTAAGAAAGGGCCTGCCTCATGAGCCCCTCCCTGGTCCATGATGCAGTGTTGGTGAGATCAGTCTTGTGCAGGTTTTGTGCAGTAACCGCAGTTGTCATGATTTTATGAGTACAATATGATGTCCAGAAGGCTAATATATTTTCTGTATTTATTAGTTTTGTTTATCATTTAAATGAAGATGTCATGCATAAGTGTTTTAGAAAAATATCTGAAAAAAACGGAATTCCTTTTTTTTTTTTTTGGCTTAGCAGATGAATATGTTTCAGTCTTGATAGCTGCACTTGACTTTGTCCATGATAAAGGATTATGGATTGTTGTCTTGTAGACTATGTACACTGAATATAATGCGTGATTTCTAAGTACTTTTCTAATTCTATTCCCTCAGGTACACCAGTGCTGAGCTAGGCCTGCCTCCCTCTCTGAACTTGAATACATGGCTTATCCGGGCCTGATGTGACGTGGGGCACAACAGGACAGGTCTAATGACACCAGTGTCCAGAAACCTAGGTGTCTGTCTGTTTCTTAAAAACATGATGAGATAGTGGCTCTATAGGCAATGAAATACGTGCAAGCCTGGTAATGAGATGTTTGGCTGGAAAGCAATAATGAGATGCTTGGCTGCTGCTGTAATAAGACTGCTTGCTGGGAGTGTGTAATTAGTCATTTAACTTGGTGTATGCTATGAGGGTTGTGATGAGGAACAGAATTAGTTTGAGGATTGGGAGAGAATGGTGCTATATAGAACTGGAATGCTAAGAAATACACAGCAAAGCTGTTGGCACTGTGAGGACATGAACACTGAACAATGAAGAAGACTTAGACAATGACTGTCCCATTGGGACAGATAGGTGATGTGGTCCCTGTGTAATGTGCAGCCATTCATTAGAAAGAATGGCATGCATAATTAGGTTTAGTGGATAAATGTACATGCCAGCATAGAATGTAGGCTCTGTCACAGAGGACCTGGGCAAGAATCTCCATTATATCTCTATAAGAGCATCCTCAGGTAAACTGTCTATATGCTCTCTGCCTCCTTTTCCTCATCTGTAAGCTCAGGACAACAATACTACTGATTCCTCTGGTTCACTGTAAGGATTAAATAGATCCATCAAGACAAAGCACTTGAAGCAATGCCTGGCATTCATATGAGTATCCCTTCAAAGTGCCAGGTCTTACAGAGTCCTGAACCCAGAAGAACAGTGTTGAATTCAATTCTATGGTAACTCTGTAAGGAAAAAGTGCTTGGGGATGTTCTGTTACTGCTAACGGCGAAGACTGCAAGACTTGTAACTAACTGGCTTCCTTGGGAGCTGTGGAAGGAAAGTATAAGGAGCTCAAACAGTCAGATCCAGTAATAGGCTTGCAAAGACACACGGGGCTAGACCCTGGAGAATGGACACCATCTATGCCTACATCCTACACCACAGCTACACAGTCCCCTCAGCTCCACAATCACCCTGTATCTAAGATAACTTTAAAAATAAAAATAGGAGCTGAGGACATAACTCAGTAGCAGAGTGCTTGCCTAGCATGCTTATAGTCAAGGGTTTGATCTCCAGAATAAAAAATTATAAAATATGTATGTAATTTATGGATATAATATATGATTTATATGTCTTTAGCATATATATATATAAATATATAAAAGCACCTAGACTAGTGTACATTATATCTTATGGTTTGGCCATTTGAAATAGCATTTATATCTGGCAGAAAATATAATCAACTATAACAAAGAAAGACTGGAGTTGTAGCACAGTTGATAGTCCATTTACTTAGCATGCACAAAACCCTTGATTCTATTCCCAGCACTGTATAAAATCAGATATGGTAGAGCACACCTGCAAT